TTAGTGCTTGGAAAAAATCTTTCATTCCTTTAGAGACAGCATGAAAAGTCAGCTGAGTACAAAACATAGAGAGGAAAACAAGAAGAAAAGGGACAAGAAAAGAGGAACAAAACCTAGAACAGATAATGGATGTCTATTCTATTAACATTCTCAATTCAGAGGGCCCCCTGCCTGTCTTTGCCTAGGGCCCCAAATTTCCTAAATCCACCCCTGCCCCAGGGTCAAATAATCCAAAATATTCCAATGAGGTTAAAGCAGAGCTATAATTTAAACGCGTTTCTGCTTCTATGGCATCATTAGATGCTAACTGATCAGCTAACAGACGATGAGTTTTCGTTAGCGGTGGTTGTAGAGTTGGAGCGAGACGTCGGACGGCCGACGTTTCTGGCTGAAATTAGTTGGTCGTTCGCGTGCGTTGGCAGCTTTCTTCATGCCTTCAGCAGCCGTGCATTGAGATCATGAATCGCTATTAACAATCAACCGTTTACATTTGGTTTAATCTGTTAATAAATATTCCTTTTTGTTTAATTTAGGCTTTTTTTGTGTATACATAAAGGATTTGAAATCGAAGAGTTGGGCCAGAAAAATATTCGGAGATGACGAAATAATCTGCATGGGCCTGTTGAATGTTTGCGTCGGAGTTTGACCCTTGATGGATCCTGCTACGGTTCTTAAAGCCGACGCAAAGCTAACGTTCCCGTCTCCGTCTCTGAAAGGCAGGATGCAGACAGTGATGCACAGAGGAGCTTTCTGGTAGATTTGCAGAGCGATAAAGTTCTGCAGGACACCCAGAAGGGACTAAAACACCATCCAGCGCAATGAAATAAACAGAATCTAAATAAACACCTTCATTAATGAAAGGAGGAGGCCGATTAAAGATTAAAAACGAGGCTGAAATGAATCGCAGCTACCTGACAGAGATGGAAGCAGAGACGCTGCTTTGCAAAACTCTTCCTGCATTCTGTGACTCAGTGAGAAGCTAAAACATTCCTCCCACCACGGCCTCACCTTCTGGTCGGGCATTAGCGGGTTCGTCTGCAGGGAGCTTAAGTGTCCGTTGATGAGCGCCGTTGGTCTGTCTTGTTCGCAGAAGAGGCTGCCGTTGATGTAGTGGAATCGATCTCCGGGGACGAGCCGGTTCCGGCAGGTGGAACACGTGAAACACTTCGGAAGAAACAAGACGAACCAGTTAGCTCTGAATAAATAGACTCGGGTTTAAATAAAGGCGGAGTTCTTTTCCTTTCTTACCTTTAGATGGTAGACGTTGCCCTGCGCCCTCATCACCAACTCGCTGGCCGGGATGGACTGACCGCAAGCGCTGCAGGCGCCGCTGTTTCCGAATAACCTGCGGGAGGCAGGAGGGAAGTTTTACTCTTTGCTTTCTGCAAAAAGATTTAACCTTCTGATTGAAAGCTGCTTCTGCTTCTGACTCAAAGGGGGAAAAAAGATAGAAGATCATCCCAGAATCAACAGGAAAAAAATGAATCCTTTAGCTCTTCTCAAGCATCTCATGCTGAGAATACATATTACTTTTTTTTTGTTGCCACCCAATAATAAGCAGGAACATAAGAAATCAGGAGCTAAGAGGATTTGATTGTACATCCAGAGCTTTTGCCATTAGGACTCCAGCGAATGCTCTGTCAGTGCCGTGTTTCCATTAGAAACCCCGTAGCTTCTCTGGTTGATATATAATGTGCATGGGTTAACCTTTTCAATCATGGTGTCAACACTTTAGATTTGCTTCTGCTCATCTCTTTCGTCCCTAACCTTCTCTCTCTCTCTCCCCTCTGCCTCTTGATAATGAAATGCTTGCTCCAGCTTCCCTTCTATCTTCCTTCTGAGTCCACAATTTAGATTACTTCATCTCGGTGAGCAGCAAACTGAATGAAATTTCGATTTGAGCAGAAAGTAATTTACTGGGATCTGGACCCATTTGTCATCATATCTCACTGGGTGTTTGCTCTATCACTGCACTTTTCCTAAGCAATCAAATAAGACCACGGCATCTGACATGCTCCGGAGAGAAGGGGAGGGAGGAGGAGGAGGAGGAGGGGGGAGAAAAGGATTTTCCTTTTTCTTTTTTTTTTTTGGAAGGGGGGGGGGGAATCAGATAAAGTTGTTTGGCTTTAAAAAAAAATTAGCAGGAAAGAAACGTCTTGTCGTTTGGATGATTCTCGTGAAAGAAAACGTAGCATCGTTTCTCTGCGCATTCCTATTGTGAACCCCCCCCCCGCCGCCGCCGCCGAGCAGGTGCCGGTTGATCTACGCTGACAAACAAGTAAGGAGCTCCAGAAAAAAAGCGGCTTTCAGACGCAGACAGCTCAGGCAGAAGCATCATTTGGAAAGACTCCATCAAAACTCCCATTTCCCAGAAACTAATTAACTGGAGACTTTTGTGGCTGCGGTGCCGGTTTAAGGCGCTCGCTGGGACAAACATGGACGTATGGAAATAAATATACATGCACGTAAAGCGGCTTCAGGATTCACGGCGTGCGTGCGGAGATCGCAGGCGTTTCCTCAGCGTGAAACCTTTGGAGAGGTGTGGAAACAAAGGCTGCAAGAGTCCACCGCTGCCTTTTCAACATGTAGCAGGTTAATTATTTTACCAGCGATGGAAGGTAGGGGTGGGGGGTGGGGGGGTTTAGCTCTGGATCCTGTTTGATTTAAGGAGCCCAGGCCTTTAGGTGCTCAATTAAGTTGCTGTAGCATTTTGAACTTGGGCTCTAATGGCCCCCTTCCAGCGCGCAGAGGTGAAGTCAGCACTGCAGGTCAGCATAATTAAGGCCAAGGGGACTCCTAATTACAATGACACATCTGGTTTCTGCTCTCTCAAAATGATATAAAAGGAAATCACTCTGAGTGGATCTGTTGTTGATTAAATTAAAGAACAAACAAGGCTTAAAAAATAAAGAAACTCCATTGTGTCCGTCCAGGCGATGACTATTGGATTTCATTTCAGCACCGACTGAAATACAGCGTGGCTCGCTGCTGGGCCTGTCTGCTAAAATGCGGACCTCATTCGCCGAGACCTTTGAGTGGGGTAAAATTACCCCCACAACAATGATTTCTGCAACACAGTCCATTAAAAAAGCCTCTCTACATCAGCAGCCAAAGCACCTTAAAAGCACCAGGCCATATTGATACTGAAGCGAGGCTTTGCATAATGGCAGGGGCTGCATTAGAGAGGAGGGGGGGGGATTGGGAGGATGACGTTGCTGTGTGTGTCTGTGTTTGGGGGGGATCAGCCAAATTACACTTGGTTAATTCAGAGTAACAGATCTGGCCCCAAGTGAATTGAAGGCCTTGAATTAATTCTGATATGACAAATCAAGATAAACGTTTCCTCTAAATTGCATGCGATTTAATTAATTTCTGAGATCCCCCCCCCCCCCCTTTTTTTTTTTTTTTTTTTTTTTTTTTTTTTTTTTTTTTTTTTTTTTTTTTTTTTTCCTCCTCTCTCTGGCCCCTAATAGTTCACATTCTCTCTCATGCTGTCATAGAGCTTGAGTGGGCAGACTTCAAAGTGATATTAAATAACCCAACTATTAGATTTACCTCACACGTTCTATTGGAAAAGTGCCATTTAATTACCTTGGCTTATTCAATTAAAGCCGGGCCGCATTTTCTCTGAATCCGCCGCGGCGGCGAGTAAATTAATTCCCCCCTCCGACGGCGAGCCCGCAGAAATAACATCACCTTCTGGCATGGAGGCAACACCAGGTTTACGCTGTGAGACGCTTCTCTGAGTGGAGAAGATAAAGATCTACGTCCGGAATATATGTTAGTTAGTCTGAAAGTTAGTCTGCCCCTTTAAGATAAAGGACGGGGGGGGGGAGCAAATGGCCTTCACAATAATCCCTCCTCTCTATCCGTCTTTCTCTCCTGCTCTCTCAAAAGCCAATTTGGTTAATTAAATGTTTTGTTTGCAGTGCGGCTCTCATTCATTTCGGACACGTCACTGGTAGCGGATACAAGCCAGGGACCAGATCTCATTAGATAAAACCCATCAGGACTAAAGGAAATGGAGGGGGACTATAATTAAAGCATTTAATTGTGTAGACTCACTGTCACATGCCCCCCCCTCCCTTCCATTGCCTCCACTTCTGGTTTTATCTTTGCAGAGATCTCTCCGTTCCATAATATGCTTTTCAGCTCTTCCACCAAGCGCACTCTCTCATTACAAGTGGAAAGGTGTACCCCCCCCCCTCCAAACGTTTGCATCCCTCTTTCCAGTTTTAATTATGTTATAGTACCATTATGAATGAAGTACCCCATTGACTTCCCTGTGCTTTTTATGGGGTGGGAGTAGGAGCACAGAGGCACACTTTATAATTTCAATTAATTGTGCAGCTTTTTTTTTTCTTCTCCTTCCTGTTGACGCATCTCACACAAAAAGAAAAAAATAAATAAAGAAGCTGCATTTTTTACTTTTTAAAAACGCCGCCGACCTGAGATCTCAGCGTTTCAGCCCCCCCGACCCTCATTAATGGTGTCCTGACGTCAGCTTTGCGCTCAAGTTGACTTGCAACCGGAATCTTTATCAGAGATTTATGTCCGTTTTATTATCTGTGCGTCTTCCATTAATGCAGGATGATTAAGACACGTCCGACTCTGGAGCAAAACTTCTTTCTCTTGGTTGTTGATGATAAACTCCATCGATAACTTGTATTCATTTCTACATCCTCTGCATGCATCTTTCTGCTGCCATCCATATTCATGTTTCCATTTGTTTAGCTTTTAGTTTCATTTGTCTCGTTTATGTAAAGGAATAAAGAGGAACCAGCATCAGAGAAAAGTTAAACGAAACAAACTTTTGTTTTGTGTTTTCTTTAACCTCTTAAACCCTAAGGGGGTATAAAGACATTTCTGCCTGACAAAAACACACAAAAGTAAATCACTTATAGCCTCACAGCTATTAGATTTAAGAAGAAACTTTTGGTACGTCTGTAAAGGTAAGATGTCATAGAATGGTTTTCTGGTGTCAGCACCATTGTAGCTTTGACCCTGCCTGAAATATTAGGGACAAAATACAAAATATTTTGCATTTTTTGAACCTCGCCAAAATTTTCTTTGAAATAAACATTGCAAAACACTACCAAAATATTATTTATAGCACAAAAAAGTAGTACAGACTTTCAAATCTAAATGTTGTGTAAAAATATACCAAATTTGGACTCAATCAGATGAATCATATTTATTTTAGAATGGTATTAGTGAGAAATTTCTTAGGCCGAGAGGCCATTTTGGCACATTTATCCAAAAATGTCACCAAACTGTGCCAAATGTGTTTTTTACATCAATACTGGGGGTTTGGTAAAATTACGAGGTCACGTAGCAGCTGGACCCACTGGTGGGTCCGTAGGGTTCTAGGGGTTAAGTAAGTCACTCCTTAGTGGAGGGGAGTGGGATGAAACGTCAAAACTGGTGATAAATGAGTCTGGAATATATAGAAATATAGTTTAAACCCTGGGGTAAGTTTTCTTCCAAAAAACAACAAAATCTTGGAACAGTTAAAGACTCAAACTGACAGATTGATGATTCGTCTCAATGGTACCAAGCAGAGGAAGTAAAAAAATGTATCTCACCAGCATGGTTTTATGCTTTCAGATTCTCCCAATCTATAAAAACCTGTTCAGCATCTCGCTCACCTGATGTAGTCGTTTCTGCAGAGGATCATGCCGCTTTTCGTGTAGCACGACGTGCCGATTTCCCCGAGCTGGGCCTGGCAGCAGGAGCACTTCAGGCATCGGCTGTGCCAGTAGCTGTCCATGGTGTAGAGGAGGAAGCGGTCTGCGATTTTACCCCCGCAGCCTGCGCAGCGCTTCCAGGACAGGGACCCCGTGCCCACCGCTGGCGGCTGGCTGTTGCCTCCCGGATTCACCATCGTCTCTAAAAGAAAACGCAACAAACATAAAAACCTGTCAGAGTTTTATAGTTCTGATCCTACTTTGGACCTGAAAGCTTTTGTATGGAGGGAATGTTTATAAGAATTACACAGAAAGGCGTAAATAAAGAAGCCAAGGTTGAGAGCAGATCGTTTAGGTCAAATACTAAAAAAAAAAGGGAGTTTTTTTCATTCCAATCAGAATTCACTTTGTTTGACTTTTATTTAAAGATGCAATAATCAGAATTTGTAGATAAACATCAGTTTGTTTACTTTTCTCTGAGCTCTTTTCCATTTTGACCGTTTCAAGTTTTGTTATAACATCTAAAGCTCTCATCACTAACATTTATCTGTTTATTATTCATCTGAGAAGAGCGCCGAACAATACATGTTGTTGGATTGTGTGTTTGTAGATAAAAAATAATAGATTCACTATTTCATTTAGAAGCATTGAATGTATGTTTTGTTTTTTCAATACAATCTACCAATCGATAGTGAAGGCCAAACTGATTATTTCCAGGCCAACTATTCGTCACATCTGTCGGGAGATGATATATCTGATAATGATTTAAACCCGTCATGATCATTTTTAATACCTATAATAATTACGTTTTGGTTTAAAAACATATACTTCTGTAAAATAAAAAAAATAAAAAACGATTTTCTTCTCTTTCTTTACTGGTTAAAGTGGTTGTAATCCATTAAACATGATACATACCCCTAAAAAGGAAAAAAGAAATTGGTTCTAGGCAGGTAAAGTGTGAATAGCTCATCTCCGGTTAGAATTACGATTTTCCTTTCCACTGTCGCTACATGCATGATGCAGTACCGAGGACCGATTTAACCCCGCATTACAAGCAACCATCAAGAATGCTAAAAGTCACCGACTCTATGTTATCTGCTGAGTTTCCTTCACTAAAAAACATTTATTCTAACTTAAATGAATTACAACTGCAGACAAAATTTAAAATGTCCTTCAACTACATGTGTTGTGTGGCTAAAAACAACTAACTCGAAATCATGAAATCATTCTTTATCTTCAAACTAAAATCCAGATTTCACTTTTCTGTGCACCCATAAATCATAACGAACCCTCATCCAATCACAGGAGGTCTTTTTTTCCAGTATATTCGCCTGCTTGATCTTTCCAGCCCTACAGGATCATTCCTGATGAGTCCTTGTTACCTAAAACACACATTTCTCCACTAAAACCAATCTGTAGCAGTGGAAGCTGATTTCCCAGAATATCTTATTGATTAAACTAAAGCAGAAATGGATTAAAAGTTGGAAATATTTCTGCTTTCCTGTTTTAAAAGCTGCATCTTTCAGTCAGACATGCAGAGCACCAACACTGCAGAACAACCTGCTGTAATGACTGTAATCTAATGACCAGCTGAAATTAATGTGAGGCTCTTTTAGATGTAATCCCTCCCAATTTGATCAGGACTGACTTGCCAGGATAAAGCAAAAAAAAAAAAAAAATCTTTGCTGAAAGCCAGGTAGGCCAATTAGAGTTAGGATGGAGGGATGGATGGATGGAGGAAAGCATTCAGTAAGCCCATTAGTGATGGCTCTTAGGGACAAAATTACAGCCTACCTTAGTGCTGATTAAATCTAAAAGGAGATGAATAAAAATAGGAGCTGAAAGAGACTCCATGCATAAACAGGACAGGATTTAGTCAAGTTCCATTTAGAGGAGGGAGTTTGTTTTTGTTTAGTTTTTTTTTTCTTCTTCTTAGCTGAAGGATTGAAGGGATGGAAGGGGAGAGAGAGAGAGAGGGAGAGAAGGGGGGAGGCTTTTAACCTAAATGGGTTAAACCGAGTAATTACACCACCGGCCAATTTGGCCAAAGAAGTCCTGGAAACGGAAACAAAGCTACAAGACTTCACATTAGAGTTATGGTGGAGTAAAAGGGTGGAAATGGGATGAGGATAGAAGAATAGCAGCAAAAAAGAAGCAAAACAATCCTAACCTACGGGTTTAAAGAGCGTAAACACGGCGCGCGGCGACAGATGTCATCAACACTCACCTTGTTTGCGTCTCTGACGTGAAACGGCAGCAAACTTGGTGATACAGAACAGTTAAGTCCCCAAAAAACAAGTTCAGGTACAAAAAAAAGAAGAAAAAAAGGAGAGAATCTGGGTGCGCAGTAGCGCGCGCGCTGGCCTCGAGCTCCGCGCGACAAGCGGAACCAGCGCGAGGACCGGTGGATCAGAGAGAGAGAGAGACGGCAAATGGAGTTTTCAGATAGTATTTCCACTGGATGTTTACCGCTTCTTCTGTCACCGCTTCACCGCGTCTTTCTCTGCGCGTCGAAACCAAACGAGTCCACAGCGAGACGTAGCGCGAGCTCTCCGCATGCCGCCAACGATCCCCAGAAAAGATGGAGGAGATGGAGGTGGAAGCTGGCCGTCCGCGCTCTACCTACTCTGGTCTGCTCTGGTCTGCGCTCCCGGTTAGCTGCTTGTTCTACATGTGTCGCTGACAGCTAAGAAACCTCCAGTAAAAACCCTCCTTGGATGTTTGACGAAAGCGACGCCTCAGCCAATCAGATCGCAGTCCATTCAGGAGGAAAACAGTCTCAGCCAATCAGGGAGAGGCGATATTGAGAGGCAGGAATGGGAGGTGAGGTGAGAGAGGCTCAAACCAAAAACTTGTAAAAGCCTTTAAATAAATCAATGATCAATTAATCTAATCATCAAACACACCTAGTTTTATCCAAATACTATAACCACAATAATAACATAAATGTTACATTTATTTATATAGATATATAATAGATTATTGCTTGCTGATTGGCTGTGCTGCAAAACAAAAGCAGCTTTGAATTTATTCCTAATATTCCCTCATGCAGTATTTTCAAACACTGGGTTACATTCACCTCACGTCTGTTTAATTAGTTGACATTCAATAACTGCTTAGTTTACCGAGGGTGACTCCAACCTCTGGGAAATATCAGGGCTTTACAGCTGCGCAGTGGCGCCATCGTCTGTCACTGAGAATAATAGCAGCCAGATCGTTTACAACCTCATTAAGCTGCAGGTCATTGGTTTCAACACCTATTAAGGCTAATCTGCAGGACCTCAATTTGGCTGAGATCCTTTAATTATTCCACTATTACGGTCTTACTGAGTTTTTTAATCCGTGACATGATAGATTGCTTTGATATAAACATATATCCTGCTGCTAAAAAGAGAGATAGATGATAACCTTTGATGCAACAGAATAACATCAAGCTGCACATAGCTGAAACATCTTTAAATAAAAAACATGAATATGAAAATAATTCATTTTATTTAGTCCAATGACCCTCAAATGAAATTATTCGAGACCTTAGTTTCCCTTACCTTGTAAATTTGGGTTATTTCTATAGCGCCAATTCACAACATGTCATCTCAAGGCCCTTTACTGTTCAACCAGATCGTCCAGTCAAATTGATTCAAAGTTCTCTATCTGAGGAAAATCAGTTGATAGAATCGACACTGACTCAAAGGCAATCCCTCACACTAAGCAATGCGTGTAGCGACAGTGGAGAGGAAAAACTCCCTGTTAACAGGAAGAAACCTCCAGCAGTTTTTACACTTAATAATCATCTAAGTGTCACAAGGACCACAAAAGTAAACAAATGTTATAAATCAATAATCAAAGTTCTGAATAATCTAACAGTGTTGTTTAACTTCACCTGATAAGAGAAGAAGAATTACTCAACTAAGAAACTGAAATAACAAAACCGATCACCTTAACCAACAGAGACAGTACTGATAACAGAACCAGCCATAAGGTCCATCTCAACTCTGGAGGAGCTGCAGAAATCCACAGCTCAGCTGGCGGAATCTTTTAACAAGACAGATTATAGTCCTACATTTCTCAAATCTGGATTATATGGAAACATTAGCTGGAAGTTGAAGTTTAAATTAGCCAAATGTTTTGCCAGGACCGAAGTGGTGACACAAAAACATGTTGACAAAAATGGCCCGCTTTTTTAACTTAAACCTAAACAACATATCTAATATAATCCATAAAGTTAAAGATGGCGTCATCATCATACTGTGGCTTATGATATTCTTTAACAGAAACAGTAAAGTTTGTGAGAGTTGAAGTGTAAGCAGTACATGAGTTGAGGGGGGATGAGGGGGGAAGGCATCCCCCTTCTTAAAAATAATCTCTTTTTATATGACCACCCCCCCAATACCATCCCCAGTGACATTTTATCACTGAATGTGTAAAACTTCAACTATATGTTAACAGTAATGCCAATAATTTCCCTTTCAACATTTGGCGGGCTGTGGGCGTATGAGTAGCCTGAGCAAAATAAACAAAATCAAAGAACTGCCCTACCATGACTATGAACCTGATCCCCGTGGAAAATTAGTCCCTAACTATGCAGGGGCAGTGATAGCCATGCTAACTATGTATGGGCAGTGATAGCCATGCTAACTGTGTAGGGGTAGTGATAGCCATGCTAACTGTGTAGGGGTAGTGATAGCCATGCTAACTATGTAGGGGCAGTGATAGCCATCCTAACTATGTAGGGGTAGTGATAGCTATGCTAACTATGTAGGGGCAGTGATAGCCATGCTAACTNCTGTGTAGGGGCAGTGATAGCCATGCTAACTATGTAGGGGCAGTGATAGCCATGCTAACTGTGTAGGGGCAGTGATAGCCATGCTAACTATGTAGAGGCAGTGATAGCCATGCTAACAATGTAGGGGCAGTGATAGCCATGCTAACTATGTAGAGGCAGTGATAGCCATGCTAACTATGTAGGGGTAGTCATGGCCATGCCAGTCCAGGGACTGACTGTAGTTCTACTGTAAGGTGCCTTGGTCAAAGTCAATGACCGGCGTACCTGACATGGAACAACCATACCATGCATATTGCTTTAGATTAATAGACTATATTAATAAGGCTATGTATCCTTTTGTTCTTTACAGGACTAGTGGGTGTAATAGAGCTAAAGACAGGGAAATCCTGAAAGAAAGAGGAATAGAGGCTACAGAGTGCATTAGATTGACACTACAGAAAGGCAACTTTAAAGAAATTCATGCCTTGAGCACCACGTTTACATGTTACTCCTATTTAGAGAGCGGCTTAGGAGCTCTGTGAGGCGGAGCAATGCGAAGGTCGCGATTCCCTGGTGCTCTACCATAAGGACTTCTCTTGCTGACCTCCTGCAATCTCCAGTGCTAGCTTTTGCCAGCCGCTGCCATCTCCCCTCTCATGGCGCCCTCTCTGATCTCTTTGCTCAGCTGACTTCTCCAATCTCCTCCTGTTGTTCCTTAGCTCCAGAGGTCCGCATAGCCAGTTCTCTACAGTAGTTTGTGCTCTGATTTCCCTGCTGCTCCTGAGCTCTGGGAGAGTTTTGGCCTAGTGGGTTAGAGCAGTGCGGTTGTGGCTCTGAGAAGGTTGGAAGAACCCAGTTTGATCCCCACAGCCTGCACTCTGGGTCCCTCAGCAAAGACCCTTAACCCCACTGAAAGGTGCCTCTCACATCGAATACAACAGGGAGGGGCTTAAAGGGTAGTCGATCCCCAGAAGCAGATGCCAGATTGGTTTGCTCTGAGTGGTATTTGGGTCTTCTCTAGATTGCTTCCATTGCATTTCGCAATGATGATAGCTCTTACCCTGCTCTCATTTCAGAAAACATGTTTCCAGTTCAATGTTCATTGCAGGCCTCTAGTATTCTTTGTTGAAGGACTTATCTTTTATTTCCTTCATAAATATTCTGGTTCATGCCACAGTTGAATTTAGGTCTTGGCTTTGTCTTGATCAAAACTAGCTGGAGAATCAAAATTCAGATTTATTTTCAACCAACTTTGAATTTCGATTGTCGATTGTCCTCTGAACTTACCACAGGACAGCAGACTTCCTGCAGATTTCACTCCACTGTTTGTTTTTTATGATCTTTATA